TAAAATGCTAATTACAACAAAAGACTCTACTTTTTGTCCAGTTTTTTTCAGGACAAAACATGACCTGTAGTGGCTTGAGTATGAGACAATCAAGGATTAAAAAATGTAGGTACTAATCACACTTGAAGCTGCCTTGCTTGGATTTTGCACAAGTCAATAAACTTCTTTCCCAAGAGAGATACAAAATTATTTTAGTGGGACTGCTGAATGTTTGTTGTATATTTGAAGTGCTTTGTGATGTATTGTGTGCTAGATTATATCTCTGCAGACAATGGTGATGGGTCCAGGACTTTGGCAGTGACTGCACTACAAAATGCTCCTTTTTCCTTTTTGCTTGTCGATTCAATTATGCTGATGTAGCTCTTTTATAAAGCTGTGCTGTGAAATAGATCCTGTTTTGTTGAGGTTGTTTGGGGTTTGGTTTGTTTTGTTTAATGAGGATTTGTGGCATATGGCTTTTTGTTTGTGGTTTTGCTTTTGTGTTTTTAAATCCAGGTTAGTTTCTTGACCTGGTTCACAGTGCTGCCTTCTGGAAGTGGTGACAGCACAACTGAAAGGGCCATATTTTGTAATTTGGGTTGTGGTAGGGGTGAAAAAGGGGAGAGAGATTCTTTGGCCCATCCCTGTTTGAATACCCTGTGATGTCAGATCACTGCATGGGAAATGAAGAGACATTGATTAAAAGAGGTCTTTTCACTTGAACTCAAAAAACATTTCTCAAGAATACTTTGCTTTTTGGTCAGAAGAGACTCATATTCAGTTGGCAGCTCTGCTATTTGAGGCTTTCTGAGTGCCTGCAGTATGGTGGGTCATTGGATAATGTGCTAGCTGCAGCACAGAGAGAATTCAGCTTCATCTTGGGGCCACTGGCTGCAGATCTGTGAAAACACTTCATGGTGCTTAAATTTTTATGGTTTGCCTTTTTTTTTTGAGCAATTTCCCACTTAAAGTACTTGGTGTTAATTTTAAAACATTTTTATACACCCACTTGTGCTGTATTTAAACCATAAGATAATTTTCTCTTCTGTTTCTTGGTAACATAATGTTTCGGTAGTCTTTCCTTAAGCCTGGAGATTAGGCAGTTGTCAGTTTTTGTTTTGCCTGTCTCAGTATCTGTCTCCTAGGGACAAAGTCATCCTGCAGATGGTTGCTCCATTTCCATCATCTAACCCTGCAGCGTCCATTGAATCTTATTCAGAAAATAGTGCTGTACAATTCTGTTTCTGATTATTTTTTCCCTAGTGTGGGGAGCACGCCTTCCTAATCCTTGCATGAAATGCTTACATACAGATCTTTTTCTTATTACAGCCTTACATACTGTCCCCAGACACCGTATTGGCTATGGGGCTTTGTATCAGGAAGATTAGCAGTCTGCTCCTGTAATTTTTGTCAATTCTTTTTCTTAATTAGTGTCTTGAAGAAGATCTTTAAATAACTTGAAATACTACCTCATAGTTGATGGATGGGCGCTTTGGTCTCAGATTACCACTTGGTATTCTCTTCTTTTTGCTTTTCCTCCTTTTCCCTCCCTCCCCTCATCCATCCTCCCTGTAAGGACAAAAATTGCAAGTATTTCTTCTGAGAAATTTAATCACATATAAAGAATGGCATAAAAATGCTAAACACCAGTGTTGGTGCTGCCTTCTCGTGTCCATTTGATCATTCACTGAAACAAATCCAAAATGGTGAAGGAAAGTAGGCTAGTAATTGCTGTCATTTTTTAATCAGTTAATTCTCCCTTTTGCTGGGAGCTAAACACAAAGGAGAAAGGGTAGATTTTTAGACCTTAGAGATGCTTGCCAAGAGTTTTGGAAAAGAATTGATGTTATGATCTGCTGAAAACCGTTTTTATGCTCTCTTTCACAGCTTAATCCCTCTGATAAATGCTTCTTTTTATGTGACCTTATTTCCCCATAAGATTTAAATGAACCATTACACACCTGTCAGACTTTAGGCTTTTGAGCAACTGCTGAAAGCAAAAGTGTCTCAGCCTCCAAATTAATAGCAGTACTTACCACTTACAGAGTAGTTGAAATCCTAGAAAAGTTGCCTTACTTGTCGTACTTTAATATGATTATGGTTGATGTTTTTTGTTCAGAGTGCTTGAATCAATGTGCAGATAACTTAGTCAAATTTCTCCTTGCTCTGCTGTTTTCTTATTGTCTGCCAAGGAAGCAGGTGGCTATTCCCACTCAGCAAAATGGAAATACTCTGAAATATGGAGTAGTGATCTGAACAAGTCGAGGTTAATTTGTAATTCAATAATTTGCTTCCTTAAGCTATGCTTTCTATGTGCTATTTTAATAATAAAAAATTAATACATTTTTTAATTATTAAAATTAAATAAATAAAATTACAGCTAACTTCTTTCTGTTTAAACAATTAAGTTTCAGCTCTCAGCAAATACATCCAGGTGCTTATTTTCTCTGCTTTTAAATTGATCTTGGCAATTCAAACCGAACAAACCTGTTTCATTGTGCAAACCTTATTTTCAGGCAAAAATAATTATTCAATTTTTTTTTTATCTGTTTGATTGACTGACAAAAATTTTGCTGTGGAGTCAGTTAAATCTACACAGAGTTTGTTTCATCAGCAAGGGAATGTAAGCATCCCTTAATGAAGGTGCGTTTTCAGGAAATGTAGCAATTTCATTTCCAGTCAGTGCTGATGCTTCTTACTTAGGAGTTAATGGCCATGAGTGGCTGCTTCCTTTGTCTTTTGTTAATTAGACAGTTATTGATAAATCATTATGAGTGTAAGACAGGGAATGAAGTACTTTCCTGTCAAATGATTATACTTATAAATGGTGTGAACTTTCATCTAGGTTTTGTATTCAAATCTTACCTTTAAAGACTGGACTTCCTTATTCATAATAGCTTGGTAACTGTCCAAAGGACTGTGTGTGCTTATTGCTATGCCCTTATTTGTACTTTTCTTTTATAAGATATTCTAATAGATGGCCAGGTGGTTAATGATCAACACACTTCTGTGTATTTTTGAAGGGAGATCTGAATTTTTTTTCCTACACGCTTTTTAGTTCTAGCTGAAGAAAAATTTAGGGTCTCTGGAGGACAAGCATTAGTCTTTTAATTTTTGGAGAATTTGGTGTCTGTTATTATGCTGGCATGTGACTACTTCAGACACAGTTATTCAGTACCATGCTTGTAATGTGTTCCTGCAGAGATCTTAGGTATAGATCAGCCGGGTATGCAGTATCCTAAAGAACAGAAGTGCAGAGAATGTATTTTGAAGGTACTGATTTTTGGGCTCTTAACTGAGCCCTGCAGTTAAGAATGCGCAGCCTGAATGTAATTAGGTAACTTGCTCGTATAATTAATATGCTCTAAAAATTTTATGATTTTGCTTTGCCTGAGTTCTGGCTGCAGAACAACAGCAGTTCTGGCTGCTGTCTTCAACAGCAACTTTCCCTGAAGTAGGTGTGAGTCAAAGTTTGCTTTGCAGAATAAGACTATATACTCTTTCTGACCCAGGTCTTGGTCAGAGCTCACTTGTGCAGCCATGGAGATAGAGTGAGACAAAACAAGGAAGAAGGACCTTTTATGAAGCCTAGTAACTTCAGATTATGTAAGCTGGGGTTGTGCAGTTCCACACACAATTTCTCTTTTTGAAATTGCCATTATTCAACTCCAATACATATGTTGTTATCCATTTCTATCACATATATAATTTAATTTTTTTTTCTTCCCACTGTTTACTGAAAAAAGTGTATATGGGCAGTGGACTTCGCTTTTCAATAGAAACTGTTCTAAAAGTAGTTATTATCTACAGTTATAAACATTTAATTTCCTGTCAATCAAAAGGACTTAAAATGATAGAAGTTCCCTTGTTATGTGATATCATAGGCCAAGGTTCTTTGCTGAATCCGTTGCTAAGTTATACTGCAGAAATATTTTTTCCTCTGGGGAATATAGGCACAATAAAGATAAGGATTTAGTGAATAGGGACTTTCTGCCTACTTGCAAACTTCCTTGTTGATAAGAAGGTTGCAATTTTTAATTTTTTAAAAATAATACATACTACCACCACCCCCCGAAAGCATCAAATTTATGGGCATTTAGAATATAACTTTTTTAGAATAAAAGAATAGAATAGAATATTTTAGAATATTATTCTAAAAAAATACAATAGAACTTTTTAGAATAAGAACAATTGTTACAATTTAGATTTGGAGTGTACAGAAAAAGATTTTGAATGTGCATTCCAGATCTTCTGGACTGATTTACGTTGTATGCGAAGCTCTTCCACCGCTAGCAATATTTCACGGGAAATTGACTGTTTGGCACATTACATTTCTGTGCTTTTCCTAGGCACAAATACTGTAATTCTCACTGAAATACCTTAACCTGCTTTGTCAATTCTGTATGGCACTCCTATTTATACCAGACCCAGAGGCCCGCATCTTTGGAGACTTGATCTAGTATTGCTTCTTAATGCTTCTCCCAAGCTTTCTCTGTCTGAAGTAAAAAACATGAAGGTATGCCATAGTTTGGTAATCCTGTTTCTTCTTCAGAGTACTTGTGAAATGTATACTGTTTGTCACATTTGTGGCTAGGAGTTTAGATGAAATCTGAATATTGTATATAAATCTATTCTTCTGAATTATTATTTAGAAATATAAATGTTGCTGTTTCTTGTTTTATAGCATACCTAAATGATTGCAGTTTTTCTATTGTATTGGGAAAAAACCCTTGTTTGGGGAGAATTACTTTGTGATACAAGCTTCTGAACTTGGTTCACTTACAAGCAAAGTTTGCATGAGGGTTTAAAAAGAATTTTAACCAAACATTGTACAATACATAATATTTTGTGTGTGATGCAGTGATAATTACCTGAAATGAGAGGGCTAGAAGGAATTGGGAAATAGCAGGGAAGATAATGAAACAAGTCTTATCTGAAGTTAGCAGGCAGTATTATGGCTTAATTCAAATTCTACCATACATGCAGAAAAAATACAAACCACACAAAACAAACAAAAAATATTCAGCAAGCAATGATGAAAATAATTATTTACTGGGGTTTTTTTTGTAATGTTAAAATATTTTACCAAGGCAAGTTGCTGTCAAAAGTAATGTGAGTTATTTTGAAAATGGCAATACATAAAGATGCATTTATACAAGTGCAAGACTAAATATTTTACATAACTGTATTTCAATGAGAAGATATACAGTAAGTGCACACTTGATAACACTAAGCAGGCAAAACTTAACGTTAGTTCCATATGCTGTTGTACAGTTCATGCACAGAACTTTCCCAAAGTAAAGAGGCTGTTCCAAATAATTCTTGCTGGGATGAAAAACAGGATGGGTTGCTGGTAAGGGTGTCAGCATGGATGGGGGTCAGTTATAGACATTACTTACTGTAATTTGTGATTGCCGTGGAAGAGGAGTGGCTGTTGGTGTGATAGTAATACTGCTGGTGATTTTATTGGTGGGCTTAGTGGGTAGGCCATTAGCTAGTGCTGGAGTTCTGTTGTCTTGCACTGCATTGCAAGGGCTGATGGGCTTGGAAGCGGTGAGAGCTTGGACATAAGGACTTCCTAAATGAATGTGGATCTTGTTATCCTCAGTAGTTATTACACTTGATCCTGTACTGTTAGATCTCTGAAACTGCCATGATGACTGCCTGTCTGGGGATACTCTAAAAACAGCATGCTTGGCTCCCATTTCCAAAGGCTCCGAGGAGAGTGTTTGTTCCTGAGAACTTGAGCCAGGTAAAGCCAAAGGGGACATAGTTCTTTCAGGAGTTAAAGAACCACACGATTCAGGAGTTTGAGATCTTGCAAAAGTAGTAGTCATAGTAATAGGAGAAATTACATGCTCTGGGGTCATGTAACCTTCTCCTGCTTTTGATTTTACAGGTGTTAAGGAGGCATTTTGAATAATGGTGATTCTTTGCTTTGGAGTGCCACAGTTGGGTATAACTGCTGTGCTTGTGTAGGAGTGAGGGCTTTCAGTGGTAGGACTGGTTATTTCAAGGGTTGCTGTGTTCTGTCTATGGTCTGGAGTTACTTTTATGTGAAGGGGTTGGCCAGGTGTATGGCTTAGCACTAGATCTCCAGTCTGTGCACAGTTTCCATTTTGCTTTGTGTGTATCTTTCCATTTTGAGGATGGCTCTCTTTGGACCTCATCCAAGGGATCCATAATTTTTTGTTTCCGGCATTTGTGGTCGATGAGTTGCTTTTGAAAGACGCTGTTTGCTCCTCCTCATTATCACTGTCTTCATAGAGCTGCCCATTTATGACCGTTTGCTCTAAAGGCATGAGGGTTTTGTAATCGGGTGGTTCATTGTCTGCTGGATCTGTTTGGATTTCTTTAGAAAAAACTTGCACATCTGGAATTTTCTTTCCATTGAGACCGGGCCTGATGTTCTTGCTGAAGGATCTGTACCTCTCCAGTTCTTTTGTGAGGCTCTCCATTTCTCTTGCTAGCTCCCTGTTTTTGTTTTCTTGCTGGAGGAGTTTCTTCTGTAAAACTGTGTGATCACCTCGCAGGTGACAGATTAGGTCTTCTGTTGCCACATATTCATGAACTTTCTCTTTCAGTGCATCTACTTCTCTGGAAAGGTGACTCGATTTAGCTTCCTCTTCTTTGAGTTTCTTAAAATGGCGCTCCTGATTGGACTCTGCCTTTTCCGTTAATTTATACCTCGCCAATTCCACTTTCACAGCCTCCAACTCCTCTGAGAGGAGCTTGGCTCTGTCCTGTTCACTGACATATTTTCGTTCTAGAGACTCAAATTCATCTTCAGTTTTCATAAGATCATCTTCTACTGACTTCATTTCGTTGAGCTTCTGCTTAAGCCTCTCAACTTCTTGAGAAAGCTCTTTGATTATGTTGTTTTCCTGCTGCAAGGAGGTGCTAGATTTAGTACTCTCCTTACGTTTACTTTTAAGAAACTCTTTTTCAACATCTTCCAAAGATTGAAGTCTTTTACTTAGAATATTCACTTTGGAAACAAGATCACTTCCTTTCTCCTCTTCTGCTTTGAGTTTGTTTTTCAATTCATCTCTTTCTTTTGTAACACTGGACATTTTTTCCTCTGCATCAGATTTTGATTTCAGTGCCTTTTTACTTTCCTCCATCAGCTTTTCTGTAACTGACATCACTTTATTTTGTTCCACCTGAAGCTGAGAAGTTGCAGTTTGCAGCTTTTCTTCTGTTTGCTTTATTTTTTCACCCATAGCTTTTCTTTCATCCACAAGCATCACTGTTAAACTCTTCAGCTTTGTTAAATCTTCTTTAAGTGTAAACTCAGTTTTTTCTAACTTGCTTTCAATTGCTTCAAGCTCGCCAACTCTAGCTTTTAAACCATCCAACTCATGGGACAACTGCTTTGTTAAAATTTTTTCTCTTTCTAGGTTGCATTTCAGGGAGTAACATTCCTGTTTACTCTTGTTGAAAGCATCTTCTAGTTTCTCCAGCTCCATAATTCTTTTATTAAGTTTATCCACTTCCCCTTTAAGGTTCTTGCTCTGTGATGCTTCTTGTTCTAACTTTCTATTAAGTTCTCTGCACTGATCTTCCATTTTTGTGAGTTCTTCATCTTTTCCTTCCATCTCCAGCAGTCGTTTCCGTAGTTCTTCTACTTCAGTCATAAGTGCAGTGTTCCCACACTCTCCCTTGTTTATCTTATCCCTTAGATCTTGCAGTTCTTCTTCTGCTTTTCGTAAAGATTTGTTGGTCTCTTCCAGCTCATCAATTTGCCGGCTGAGAGTCGTTAATTTTAGCCGGAGCTGGCGATTCTGACTGTCTTCATTGGTTAGTTTGGCCATCATTGCTTCTTGGTCTCGGGAAATCGTACTGCTCTGGGCGTGAATTTCAGCCTCCAGCCTGCTGGATTTCTGTTTCTCTTCTTGAATTTTTGCTTCAGCAAAAGCCAGCTTTTTGTGTGCTTGTTCTGTAGAAGTGGTTAATTCTTGAATTTTTTTACTTTGTTGATTCAACTGCTCAGTGAGTCTTTGCTGTTCATCCACCACCATTAAAGCAAAGGATTTCAGTTTAGTCAATTCTTCTTTCAGTTTAGATATTTTCTTGTTGTTTTCCTTTTCTTTTTTTGTCTGATATACTGTCTCTTGTTCAAGAAGCTTTTTCAATCTGTGGGAGGAAATAATATTGTATTTTGTAGCCATTTTAGTGGGCATTTAAAAGCACACTTAAAATACTACAATATTTCTGCCAGATCTCCATGAACATTCATTTGTAACTACAAGCAGACCTCTCCTTGCAGCATTATTTGGAAGTGCCCACTGGCCTTACTTCCTATTCAGAAGTTCTTTTGTAATGAACACTTCAGCATGATCATTTAGACTTAGCAACTTCTTATTGTGCCTCTTTAATTACATTTTCAACTTTTGACAGGGATCAGTGCAACAAAACTATTCTGTTATACTCCACTGGAACTGCACTTCTCTTAGCTGTTTGCTGAGGCTAGGTATGTGCATGCAAGCTCTGGCTTTTTGTGTGTGTTGTGCCTTTTTTTTTAAAGAAATGTGATTATTATAATGCTTGAGAAATTAGGTCAGTGCAGCCCTCAAGGGCAGATATGATTTACAGCATCATAAAATTCCTAGCTTTGTCACTTATAAACCATCCTGATATTTTACAATCAAAACTTAAGGACGTTTGAGTATGTGAAGGAAATGTAGCCACAATGGGCAGTTAGACTGCCTAATGTGAATTGCTAAGCAGCACACAAGAGCAAAATTAGGTAAGTCTGTCCTTAGTGAAAGTGCAGGCCTTGTGACTTCATGTCAAATACGCACACACATGCACACACAAAGGCAGTCAGCAGATAAAGAGGTATTCAGTTGAGCCTTTTGAACTTAACAAAGCTCAAATGTCTTAATGTGTGTTAGGCCTGGATTTGCAGATATGCCTCAGTGCATCCCTGCTTTTACATTATTCTTGAAGGTTTTCATCATGATTTTCCCAAATTAGTTTTACAAGTTTATGTTAATACTCAGTCTTTATTGGGATGCAACATACTTAATTAGCAAGAGACTTGGGATAAAGTTGTGTGTTTGTTAATGTAAGAGCCTAAGAAACCTCCAAATACCTCAGCTTCTTAGGTTCTTTTGTGGACTTTTCTTTGTCAAGGAGATGTTTGTGGAGTTTGTCTAAAGTATTATTAGGTTTGGCCAGCACATATGCCTCCTTTCAATTTCAATATAAATATATTCTGGTATTAAACAAAATCTGAAAAGCCTAGGTTGAAGTAATAAAGAATTAGAATTTGTATGACATCCATAAGAATGGCACAGACTCAGTTGTGTAGATCATGTGAAGGAAATTATTTGGTTATGAAGACTACTTGTACAAAATGACTGTTTAAACACCCATTAATCCTTATTTCTTCCCCCCTCTGAAATATGATGACAGCTGTCAGAAGTTGCTGCTGAAACATAGGATTCCTGTTCCACATTTGTCTGGGGTCACTATTGTGAAGTCCATGTCCAAGTGATGAATCTTTACAGCTTCCCACTGACAAGTTCCTGTTGCAGCCTCCCTTTTAGTTCAGGAAGAACTTAGATAAGGGCCTGCTTTGCACAGCTTTTAGTTAGCTGTTGACTGACTGAAGGCATCTATTCCTGGGCAACAGGCTGCCTCAGCAGCATCCCCTTCAGAAGCAATGTAATTTTCCTGCACAGAGAGGAAGTCCTCACTATTGTACTGCAGTCCACCAGACTTGTCTGATTTAATGGTGATGTTGTATAGAAATCCATGATGATAAAATTTCTTATAACATCTTCACAGTCCCTACTGTTTCTGTTTTAGTGCCTAAGTTGTACAATGTTGAATGTAATAAAATGCTTTGTATTAAAATTTAACAGAATGGGAAGTAGCCATAAACATCAAAGACTTGAAGCAGTCACAAATTCTGTACACCAGTCAATTAACATAATGGGGGGAACAGATATGAAAATGTATCAATGGAAAGGGAGAAGTTTGTGAAATGAGTTTGAAGGAATGCTGCTGGTTGACAGAACAAATAAATGGGGGGAGGACTGCACCATCTCAAAGGCAGCTTTTTACTGTGTATATAAACTTCAGTCCCCTTTTCAATGCTACTTTCATTTCTAATTCTTTTTAGTGTAAAAATCTTTTTTCCCTCCCCACCCTTGTCTCTGAATGCTTTAGTAGTGAAGTTCAATTGATGATTTACCATTGCCATAGCTACAAAACCATAACAGAAGCACAACTAACAATTTCATTTGGAATGAACTCAGGTTTTGTGTGTGCATGAAGTTAAGACATACTAATATGGTTACTTGGACTTACTAGCATTTAATTTATTTTAGCTTGCTTCACTGTAATTTATTTTTTTAAGGCAGATTTAGCTGTGGTCATTAGTACCTTAGGTAATCAGTGTTTTACCCAACACTTCCATATTAACTAGTTGATATCCCTCTGGCCAAAGGAAAGTCTTAATGATCCAGGAAGTCATGCCTCTTACATTACTTTGAAAAAAAGAAGCTCTTACGCAAAATAGTAACAAACAATTGTAATTTTCATAGAGATGCTCTCTAAATTTTTTATGATTCAAGTGGATGATTGTGCATAAATAATGAATAAAATAAGTTGACAATCAAGTCAAGTCTGATGAAGTCTGTGTTGCATGGGCTATTTGAACAAAAGTTCCTTTATTACTGGTACCTGGATTGTTGTGTAAGGATTTTCAAGAGAGTCTGTTTCTTTGGTCATGCCAAAAGACTTTGGGTATTTAAAAATGATTCCTTCATTCAAAAGACAAAATGCAGTTTTAACATTGAAACAGACTCACAAGTAAATATTGGTAATAACTCAGGTCTGTTTCATTTTTAAAGAATACTTCTGTAAAATCACTTGATTGAAGTTAAGAGCACAGTTCAGCAACTAGGAGTTAAAGGATTTTAATGTGTTTCTAGAGAGAAAAAAGGAATGTATTAAGCATGGTATATTTTTTGATACTGTGTCATTAAGGTTTTTCACTTGCTTTTGGTAACTGTATGCTTAGTCATATATTCCTATATAGAAAATACACTTAATACTGCTGAATAGATAGTGATTTTTTGGATAAAGATTGTTATTTTAAGAAGTCAACTGGGAGTCTGTTCATACTTGAAAAGAATTTTCCTTGGCTGCTGGGTTCCTGTTTCAGGGTTCAGTAGGCCACAGTGATTGTGTCTGCACATACGCACCTAAGAATGGATGAGGACCCTAAAATGTTTGGGAGTTTTGGTGTTATTTATTTGTTTGCTTGTGTTCTTAAATTAACTGCTTAATTTTGGTCAGGGCTTTTTTTTGGAACTCGAGTTCTGTGGGTTAGTGCTTGGTTATGTATATTATCTGAATTAAAAAGTCATGTGCTTGAAGAAGTGCTTTAACTGATAATAACACTTAATGACTTTGGTGATAGGGTAAAAATACTTTGACTTCATCCAAAATACTGTCTCCCTGAAGAACAGTATTCAGAGTATCTGAGAGAGCAATTTTACTGAAAATATGCAAAGGTCAAAAAAGTTGGTTTAAATAAATAACAGTTTTTTAAGAAGAAGAGACACTCCCCTATCCAATAAAATATTTTATCATTTCCTTTGCCAGCTAAATTTCATGGTCATGTAATTTTGTATTAGGCAAAGGTAGGTAGACATTTAGACAGAGCTTTTACACAGCTCTAAGCAGTTGACTTCACAGGACTACAACAACCCTTTCTGAATTGAGGGCAGCAAAAACAGACATTGAAAATTGTTTTTATGAACATGACTGATAGGTAGTTAAAGACAGTCAGGGCAGTGTCTTATTACTTCAGAGCTTCTGTTATAAATTATTGCTTTATGGTGGTTTAATATTGTACTTACTTGCAATACCAGTTAACTGCTCCTTTATTTCCTAGAAGAAATTGTATTTCTCAGCTCTCCTCTGTTCATTGTAGTTGTTTCCCTCAGTATGCAGGCTAGAGCTTCTTGGTGTTAACACTGTGCATTCAATTGTGTCGTCTTGTTTTTCTTAATTTTTTCCAAGGGCATATAACTTCAGCTACACTACCTTATATTTGGCAACATAATGGCTGTATTCTCTACAAGACATGGAGACTCCCATAACAGTTCACTGTCCTGGTGTCATGTCATAACATTTGTCTTTAAGAGGGACTTTCCATTTTCCTGGGGTGACCTGTATTACATGGAGATTTATGTTTTTACAGAATTCTAATGGGGCAGCTTTTCCTTTGTGTTTCACAGAAACCAAAGAAAGTACAGGAGGCTGAGATTGCAACACATTTGTTTTTTAATTTTTTTAGTTAGTTCTGGAATGAGTTGTTATTCTTTGAATAATAAGAATAAAAAGTTTTTTTTGTTTGTTTAAACAATGTTGTAGTGGTAACTTTAGAAAAGGCTGTCTTCTAAGGATGCAAGTGAAATAGACACTGGTTTGTAAACCTCAGCTTTTGTCTTTCCTCTCCAGTATTATGGAGTTTTTAATGTACATATTGTCAATATCTGTATCAGACCATTCTTCAGAAATTATAGTGATTTTTAATCTCTGTGATTCTTTTTTTTTAAATCATAAAGATACACATTTTTAACTAGGTCATGCTCTTTACCCTTCTGCAGATGAAAGACGTGGTTTATGAGAGGTCCTTCTAAAGTTTTTGGATATATCCTTCAATTTCCCCTGGTACAAAGCAAGTAAAAGCTTTAAGCTGAAAGCTTTTAAATGTGGATGAAGTCATGCCTCTTCCTTTGAGGCACTCTTCCCAGTTAGCAATAAGACATAGTCTGGCCTTTAATAAGAGAAGAAACATGCTTCATCATTTTTGGTAAATCTTGCAAGTAGTAATTTTTTTACACCAGTGCAGTTACATATTTATTTTTGTAAGAATGCCAGTCTGTGCCTTCCACAGTTCATTGAAACAAAATTTGTGTTTGTTAATGTATTTCTTTCTGATCTTGGGGTGGCTGTGCATTTTTTTTATTTTTTCTTTTCCTTTGCCTAAAGTTCTGTTTATCCATGTGCAGTTTTTATGAAGACATGTTGCAGCTTTTTTTATGGCTATTATCTTTATTAATGCTTCTTTTTCCCCTGTCATAAAGAAAGTCAAAAGCCTTTGAAATTAC